AGAGAGAGAGAGAGAGAGAGAGAGAGAGAGAGAGAGAGAGAGAGAGAAGGGAAGGGCTGCAGTGCCTCGCTGACAGGAGGGATGTGTTGAGGAGAGTTCAGATAAGGGATCCTCTGCTCATGACAGTTTAGAGGTCATTGCAGAAAGAGAGAAAGAAAGGAAACACACACGGGAACGGAAGAGAGAAACTCCTTTCCTGTCCTGCTTTCCTTCATTTACTCCATCCACCCTCCCTCTGGATTACAGAATGTGCCTCTACTTCTGTATTCAACCATGCATTAAAAGAAATAGTCAACATTTTGGGAAATGCTTTTCTTCAATATCTTAGATGAGGAGATTGATTCATGTTTGTAGAGTAAATATGAAGCTGTCACCATCAGCTGGCTAACTCAGCCAAGCACAAAGACTGGAGACAGTGGGAAAGAGCTAGCCTTTCTACATTTGGATGGACACAGGCAAGCTGTTTCCAGTCTCAGTGCTAAGCTGCCAGAAGCTTCATATTTACAGTACAGACAAGGGAGCAGATTTCCCCGAGACACCGTGTAAACAAACAACAAAGTCAGTGCTACTCACTTAAACACATTGTGTTTATTTTTTGTATGGTGTGATACGATGCAAAGAAAAATTGAATGGTGGTCAAAAGCTCCACATGGTGCCTTTAAACTTCCTCCGTTGTCTTTCTCCAAACAGAAATACTTAGAGAGTATCTTTCTCCTGATAATTAATCTACTGTAGGAGAATGGAAAAATATCTGGGCGAACTGCAAGGAAAATGGGAGGAACGCTCAGAGATTGTTCCCTGTTCCACACCTACAGTAAGATACACCACTGTCAGCAAGTTCACCTGCTCCAGATTATTCCCACACTGATAAGACATACTGTCTCTGTCTCCCGCACACACACACACATATATAAATATATACTATATATAGTACTGTATTTACACACAAGGAAATCTACATTTTAGCATTTTGGACCAAATATTGCCTGACTCTAAAATTACATAAATAACCAAAATATTGTGGTGATGATTTTGTGACCAGCACAGTGTGTATTTTTGCTGACGTCTTTGTGAAAACGTGTTGCTGTCTTGTTTCACACCTTAAACAAACCCTCAGGGTTTGGACTTCATATTGCTACAAAACAAAACCATGACAAAAACAAAAACAGTAGGGCATTCCTGTAGGCATTCCTGTAGTGCATTTTTTTGAATTTGCATAATAAGGGATGTAAACAGCAGCAACAAAACAATTCTCAGGGCAGACGATATGGCCGACATCTTAGTGAAACACTGTCCACCCACTTTGACTTTGAGCATCATCGACGTAAACACCGAGTGCACCTCCTCTGTTTTACAGTAGAGGTACACGGTGCTGGACTACATGTGATGCTCAAGTGATTCAGACCTTTTCTTACATCTTGTATGCATGCTAGGTGTGCGGATGTGTCTTTTAAATGCTGTGCCATGCATATGCGAGTGCTAATGAGCAGAGTGAGAAGCAGAAGTGACCCTGAAGGTTATGCAGCCGTGCTGACACAGACATAATCACAGAGAATTGTGGACTCCATGTTGGGACTTGCAGGGGTTTCCCTTTTTGTTCTTCTGTGGAAAGTACACGGTTACAAACCAAATGGGGAAGTTGCTTTAACTAAAGAGAGCGAGGCAGATTCCCCTCTGCTGGATTTTTAGGAGAAGTTGTGTTCAGGTTCACTTCTGGGAATACCACAACAGGTTTCTCAAGAAGAGTCACTGGATTCAGCACATGCACGGACACATCCGACTCCAATGTGTATCACTCAAAATGTGGCTGGAAACTATAACTTTTACTTTCTGTATTTGCTTTGATTCTGTGCTGAAGCACTGAAAGGGAAGAAGAGCCTTCATGTACTCTGCCCCCTTTGACTGGAAAGTGCTTCAGTCACGTACAAAACTTCAAGAACCTTTTAAAAGTACTTGTGATCTAAAGACAAGCTAATCTAGCTGTCAGTGTTGATACACCATTGTATTTTGTCTGGTAAACTGCAGAACCATGATTCTTTGATTGTTTTATCAGGTTCATCAAAGCTCTGAATCCTATGTTTTGTAACTTCTATGCTGCTGTCTTTGCGAGGACGCTCCAGTTCAAGATGCTTGATCTCAGCGAGGCATTTCCTGGTTAAATAGAGCCACTACACAATTTAGAGACTGTGATGACAGTGAACACACATGAACATGCATGCACGCCTGCATGTGGGGACCAGACACCAGGAGATGACTGTAATGAAGTTGAGCCATAAACATTCATCAGCATCCGTTCATCCTGCGCAGAGCCATGGAGTCTAGAGTCTGTGTGTGTGTGTGTGTGTGTGTTGTTTCAACAAGGGGAAGGGACGTGGTGTTATGTGTCACCACGGAAGACTGGGAGGAGATGCGTGCACGGACTCCCTCTTTGTCTCTCATGCCATCATTCCAGTGATGGGAGACGATGATGGAGATTGATGGAGATGAGAAAGAGTGAGCGCTATAGGAAACTCCATCAGTGCAGTGCAAAGAGATGAGGGAGCTGAGATGTACACTATGTAACGGTCTATATGTGGCGGCTGTGTTAACTTACACTGCTGCAATTGGGTCGATAACTGCTCAGGGGGAGTCGGGAAAGGAGGAGCTTCGATTGCAGCGTGTTAAATGACGATCCTGTTCTTGGTGGTGGAGGCTGCCGAGTGTTTGTCCACTCCTGTCATTATATACAGGGGATGTGGGGGGGTTGTTTTGTTCTTGGAGACGGTGGGTGTGGGACAGACAGTGGGAGGGTAGAGACACAGATTAGCAGTGTTTCTTGGGTCCTGGAGGATGTCTGTGCGGCACCAGATAGAGACACTGGGAGGGACATGTGTTTGCTCCTTGTCTGCGTCAGTTGGGAGGGGATTAATAGGGGTGAGTTCGCTATAACATGCAAGCGAGGATATCAACACGGTCACTAATGACCATTAAGGGAGCTCTTCAGGTCTAATGAAGGAATTAAGAGCAGCTTTGGGGGGCTTTAGACAGTCTGATCCCATCATTGCTTATTTGGAGCAGTTATCCATGTTCTCCCACTGCGCTGCTCACACACTACATGCTACTCGTTCTACTGCTCATCGTCAGAGATCAAAACGATCCTGCTTCTGTCCTCTCATATTGTCTCTCAAACACACTCGACTTCAATGAGCTTCCAGGATGCAAACTCCATATGCCGACCCGCCAGACATGAGCAAACAAATCTCTCCTAACCTAAATAGAATCTGCCCCAGTTCCCCTCGACATCTGTGTCTATATGTGCACAAACAATAATTTCATATTCGATACTGAAGTTCTCTACCTTCCCCTCCCTCAATCCATCCATCTGTCGAGCTACAGATGCTCCCCGACTTCACCAAACAAACACAAGAAGAACCAGACTGTGTTTTGAAGGCGTATTCTGTCCAGTGAGCTGCAGATGGAGGCAGCCGGATGCTTAAAGGGGTATGTTTTGCTTTCTGAGAATATTTCTGTGGCTCAAGACGATATCGTTGCTGAGCTTGTGTGTTGGTGATTTGATGTTGTAATCCCAGTTAACTGCTCCTCTGATGAAGCTTTTCAGGATCGATTAGATCATTAGGAATGTACGACAAAAACAAGTTGGTTTGTTTTGGCAAAAACCATTACAGAGCTACGAAAATAGTGAATAAATTGATTTGACAAACCGTCTTTGCTCAAGTGGATTCCTTCCAGAGCTTTCAGGCACATCTCATGGCCTTCATCAGCAGATGGAATTTGCTCAGTTGTAATAGAGATACTTCATCAGCTGATGAAGGCCACACGATGTGGCTGAAAGCTCCAACAGAAATCAAATAACTAGTTGAGAATTTATTTGTGACAAAGTACTATTTCTAAGTTTAAGAATGGAGCTTTAAGCTCCATCACATTGATGTTCAGTGCAGTGAAATGTTGTCCACTGTTAAAAAACACATACTACAACATTAAGTATTCCACTGTTATTGAGTTTGGGGGACTCATAACTGACATTAAAAGTTGTTCAAAGACGCAGAGGCTGAAATATTCTGACCCAAGAACGAGTCCCGCTGATACCGAAACTGATATCGGCCCGATACTGACTCAAATGTCGGATACCATTATTTTAATAAATAGCAAGTCAGTATATTTATATCCATGTATATATTTGATACATTCTGTTTTACAAAGTAAGGAAAGCAATCTATAAGTCTGAATTTGCCTTCCACATAAAACAATGATCCCAATCTCTTCCAAACAGTGAGCCACACAGCCTAAATAAACACAGGTATCACATCGGTATTCGGTATTGGCCGATATTCAAAGTAAAAATCCGATCGGGATCCCACATTTCCCATAATTCAATTTTGACCTTCCATGTTTGATAATTGTCCAAATCTTTCACACAGTCCAAGTTTGTAACACAGACTTTCTGTTAAAAGTGTTTACTCTCTTAGCCGACATAATGACATCATCAGGGTTGTTTTCAGACGTCAGAAAGCTACCCCAGAGCCTTTGATCTGTTATTTCTAAAATGATACCACGATATGATCATGTCTTCCCAATACAAGTCCCCAACACTTCATAGACAGTAATACTGAACAATTGTCCAGTTTTAGTGGCAAAAACTTTCAAAAGTATTCTCAAAAAGAAAGAGGTATAAATAACAACAGTTTAACTCCAACCGCACCCCTCCTAAAACACCGTATCCTCTCCACCTATGAGACCACAGTCACCAGCTTACAGTTAAGAGAATTAGCAGTTTAATTTGAGAAATCCCCGATTGCATCATTATCCAAGGTTCTGACTTAGACGAGCGCTAATAATAGACAGAATCAAAGAGGAACTGAGGAATGTGGTTTGGGCCGGTGAAAGACTGACTAGGTTTCCTTACAGGGAACATCATCTGTCTGCTGTAGCGCACACTGTTGATGCCGCTTTCTGAAGCTTTTGAGGCTGCAGCACGACGTCACTCAGGTGGAGTGGTGAGGTCTTGATGAGCAGCTCCCCGAGTCATGTTTGGTCAGGGTATTATCAGGCTTACACAGAGGGGCACACACACACACACACACACACACACACACATACACACACAGACAGAAGCTGAGACAACATATTTTTTGAATTCAGCTGTCAGTCTGTCGCTGTGAATGAATCAATAAGTCTGCAGCACCCAGCCATTTTGCTCTCTGCTACTTTTTACCCCAGCCACAATTTGGTTTAATGTTACATTATGTATTCATCACCCCCTAAAAAAAGCTGCATTAGCCAGTCCTGTGTTTGGAGGAAACATGGGACAAATCAATACCTTGCAACCTCCAGCTGGCTCCACCTTATCTCAAATTCCTGCTACAAATATGAAAGTCGATATGTTAATCCAATTATGTAGAATCTTCCCGACAGATTGAAATTGTGTAGGTTTTCTGTGTTTGTGTGTCTGGAGCAAGAATGAACTGTAGATCCAACTGCTGTTATCTGACCTGTTAACCGGATTATTCTGCCGTTTACAGCCAGTCTGTCTGCAGCCTGTGTCCTCACTGTTAGCACGCCACATGGACATCATGTGCCCTCACACAAAAGCGTGTGGAGGGGGATAGATCAGCCGATAGAGAGGGTGGGTATAGACAAAGAGGAACAGGGCTTGAGGGCATTGTAGTTCACAGATAGACAGACCGATGCACACAATACCCAAATATTTTGGCCCGCAGCCGGTGTTTGAGGCCAACCCGGCTCAACTTGTCTTTCCCCTTTCCCCCAAAATACTGACCCCTATCACCGCCAAACTGATTTGGATTCCATGCACAACTTCTAAGTCCCAATTCCCAGTTTTTCTACCGCTCGTTCACACGCCACTCCATACCTGAGGTGGTGAGCAGAGAACCGTTAGAGGATGACCGTCGGAGGATCCGCAGGCTGTCACTCCAGGAGCGGGACTTGGGCAACCTCTTCAGCAGCCTCCCCAGGCGCCGCGACACCTGTCCGAAGCAGGCGTTGCCGGCCTCCCCTTCCGAATCCCCCCTGACCTCATCCAGACGCAGTGACACCTGGCTGAGTAACGCTCTGCCCGCCCCGACGCCTTCAACTCCCCCTGACCCTCCGAGCCCCTCCCCCGACTCCCCCTCCGCGTCCTCCTGCCCCGGGACGAGCGGTGCTATCTGTGCCATGGATGGAGCATGGTTGCACCAGCCGGCAGGCACCGTCTTGTGCACGTAGCTCTCGCTGGTCCTCCTGTCCTGCCCCCCGCTGGCCCTGTCCCGCTGAGGACTGCCCCAGCGCCAGCCCCCCCAGTTCCCCCCTCTGCCATCCCAGCGCAGCCACTCTGCCACCGGTGCCACGCTCCGAATAAACAGCCCCCTCTCCACTCGCTCTGCCACCCCTCCACCTGTACTCCTCACACACTCCCTAATGCTCTCACCTCTCTGCTTGCCTCACACTTATCTCCTCACCTGCTCGGTCTCCCTCGTACCTCAGCATGCGGACATGAGTCCTGAATCTCTGCTGTCCCACTTGTTCGTCTCTAACGTGTCTCTGTTATCAATGCTCCCTCGTCCTCTCTCTCGTCCTCTCTCCCTCTCTCTGTCTCTACTGCAGCACCCACACACTCTGCAGTAACAAACAGCCAGCTTAAAGAGACAGAGACCCCCTCACAGTCCTGGCTTCTCTATTCCCCTTCTCTCCTCTCTTTCATGCAACAGGAGCCTTTTCTCCTTTCCGTTCCCTCAGCGGTTGACTGTACACAGTTCATTTTGGAGTAGAGAAGAGGATGGGATCTCCACACAATAGAGCAGAAACATCACAGACCACTGCAGAGGTATAGTTACCAACACTACCTCCTCTCTTTTCCCCCTTCTCTGTCTCCTTAGTGTGAAACCCTACGGCAGTGGTTGAGGGGAGGTGAGTCAGCCTTCCTGTTCAACCCCACGACAGAAACACACCTCGTCAGCGAGAGGGACACGCATCACCTCAAGTGAGCGTGTATGGACGCTTGTATGTGTGGATTGAGGTGATGCGCAGTCCGTCGGTTATTAATATGCACTGTGAAAGAAAAAAAAAAAAAGAGAGAAAGAGTTATTCTGACCTACTTCTAAGATTGAAGAGTTTGGAGGAACAGGCTGTGCTCCCCAGTCTCACTCTCAAGCACATGACATAATTGCGAGCAATGGCAGAAGAAGGTTATGCTCTGATGTCACCATTTTTTTCACCGCAGAACAGAGAACGACGTTAGGCGTCTTCATAAAGATCAATGATCACCAAATCGCTCTCGTCAAACATGTGCTGAAGAACGCCTTTGTCCTGTCCTTTCTGCCCTAACCACCTCTTCCTCTGCAGTCCCCCTATCACTATTCACCAAGGGCGACCTAAATATAGCCTGGTTGAAAATCCCCGCTGCACTGCCACACATACGGCTGAGCAGCGATGGTGCATGGTGAGGAGACCACGCAGGTCTTTCTGCGAAAACAAAAACCCTTATCTGCATCCCCCATCTTGTCATCCTTTTTTTTTTTTTTTAATCAAGCTGAAATATTGTTAAGTGCGACCGGGCGAAGACTCTTTCTCTGTAGTTGACACTGAAGAAAGAGGCAGCGTAACAGAAGTATGATGCAGTATAGTTTGATGAACATGTGCTCAGTAGCTTTCTTCAACATTCAATGCAGCCTTGTATCCAGATTCTGTTTTGTTTTCAACTTAAGACATGTGAGGTCTGAAGGAATGTGTCGGCTGACATCTAGTTAAAACTATATTCATCGCACGTCTGGCAGCGCGGCAGCAGTGTCATGTCGGCACAAGAAGGTTAAGAGCCATTTAACACTGGCTCTTAACTTGATAATTAGTTGACTGGTTGATTAGTAGAACGACAGAAAATCATTTGACAACTGTTTCGCTATTAATCGTTTAAATCGTTCATCAAGCAAAATGCCAAAGACTCACTGATTCAAGATACTCAAATATGAGGATGTGTTGGTTTCTCCTGTTTCATATCAATGCAAAATGCAAATCTTTGGTCAGACGGATTAAACGAGAGGAGGATTCCTAATTGAAACACAAAATTGTTACACATATTTTTCACAAATGTTTGCCATCTTATAGCTTCAGAATTGATCAATTAATCGCAAAAAACAGATTATTCAATATTAAAAACAATTCTAGTAGCCCTAATCTAAACTACATGTGATTACCCTTTAAGGTAACACTTCCTTTTCAATCTTTTAGCATTCATAAGCAGAATACAAACAATGGTTCATGGTTTCAAACACACTAATATAGTTGTAAGAAACATAAGGACATTTTAAGGAGTTTACAATGCATTTGTCAACAATTATAACTCCTATGAAGCATTCATAACTTGCTTATTAACTTGACAACACAGTATAACACTGCTGTATTCATAAAGATTATTACCTGTTAAAAAGCATTTACAAACCATTCCAGTGGGGTTTTATGATGAATACATTTATAAACACTTTAAAATGTGCTTAACCTATAAACCACTAATTGGTCATCTATTGCTTGTGCTACAACATTGAGGTTTAAACTGCAACTAGTAGGTGTGCATACACAGTGAGAGGCACATGTCTTATTGCTGGACAAGGTTGAAGACAGGAGAGGACCAAACCCAGGGTGCCACAGAAGCATAGTGCCCCGAAAGCTTTAATTAAAGACTAATCTGACGTCTGACTCCGTCTGCCAGCCCGTAATCCCAACCTCTCCATCCCTGAGACGTAATCCCAGGCAGGAGACACCACGAGCCGGGATTAAGGAGGCCAGTCCCCTCCCTCCTGCCTGCCTGCCTGCCTGCCCTGACCAACGTCACAACATGGAGAGATGACAATTCAAATCACAAGAACACTTATAAACAACAGCCACTATCAGGACTCAACCCGAATCTACTGTACAGATTTATATAACTGTTACACATTGGACTTTCCTTTACAGCTATATTCAAAAAAAAAATATATATAGCTATCTATCATTATTTCTGTGTATTATATGGTGATTTTCCAAAACAAAAGTGTCAGTAAAGCAGACATACAGAGCTCATAGATGTCTAGACTGTCACTTATCAGGCATGTTGGTCATATGCTTCGTTATTTTATGCCCCATTACGGCCTGATGCTCATCTATATGTGTGTCGTGTATTTATGCATATATAGTGGTTGGGGTGGGGGTGTTGCTGTATAGAATGCGTACTACAAATCAAACTCCATCTAGCTTTCATCAGAAGCAATAAGGATTTTTTTTTTTTAAAGCACGAACACAGACGAAAGCCAGCTGGAGGAGGATCGTGCAACAACAAGAGAGACTGGGAGCTCTGGCTGGATTGACAGATTCCTCAGTAGGGGCAAGGCCCCCCATCACAACAGTCCCAACCGACCGTCTCAGGGGGGAAAGTGCCGTTTCTATGAGCTTCGTATGCGGCACAGCCAACGCAGACACAAGGGGGCCTGATAAATTGAAGACAGACAGAGGGAGCGAGGCAAACGACGAGAGAGAGAGACAGAATGATGGTTGTTTATGGCTGCAAGGCCTCCGTCTCTCACTCCCTGTCATTTGCTATAGTTGAAAGAGGAGCATGCATGCATGTGTGTGTGTGTGTGTGTGCCGTTTCTATTTTGGCAGCTTTTGGTTGCATCTCTCCCCACAAAAATACCCTGAAATGCCAAAAACTTGTGTCGCTTGTCATGAATGTCCTGGTGCCCCCCCCCCCCCCCCCCATGACTGCATACCGCACTCACCTCTGATGTTTTCCAAGAAAAGGGAGCTGACTAGGCAGTTTGATGTAGAGGGCAGCTGCTGGCAGCAGAACACTAGAGCTAATTATGCCTGATCCATAAAGAGACCAGCGGAGACAAAAAGTTCTTGGGTTGTAAAGAAACTCTGTGTGTGTTCCTCTGGGTGTGTGTGTGTGTGTGTGTGTGAGAATAGCGCTCCAGTAATCTCTGCTCTCGCTCCACTGAGCTCTTGCTGATAGCACACTAAATCAGACAGCTCTGCAGTGCAGGACAAACTCTTGCTCTTTTCCCCTATCCCTCACTTGCACTGCCCCCCCCATCCATCGCTCTTGTTCTAGCCCTCTGTCTCTCCTCATTCCTATCACCCTGCCTCCCTCCGCCTCTCCATTACTTTTGTCCTCCCTGATTCCAACTACTTCTCATTCTTTCCCTTTTCTTGTTTCCATGTCCCCTCGGCTCTGTTCCTCTGTTTCAGCCGGTCCGTCCCTTTTCTTCCTTCTCTTCTCTCGACCCTCTCTTTAATTTCTGCATCTCACTCTGTTCTGCAGTCGCAGCCTCCCTGTGACAGAGTGCTGCTGACTCGGCATTGTGTCAGCAGCACACACGCAAACTCTTCAGGTTTAACTCCCACCAAAGGTGTGTGTGTGTGTGTGTGTGTGTGTGTGTGTGAGTGTGTACTCTCAAGCCAGATTAAACACATATCTGCCAGGTCAAATTGGCTTGGCCCAAACTGTCTGCGTCCCAGAGCTGTGCAGGTGGGAGTGATGTCATCGGATCCCGAGCAGCTCTCAGCAGTGCAGTATATACAGTCAGGTATGTGACTCCAGAGATATCAGGCGGAGTGAATGTAAAAACTTTTTAAATGGCTGCTTCCAGTGTCACTATAACATCTGTATACCTGATGGATCAAATGCTTTGTCCTCACACCCTAGTCAATCTAAAACACATGAGTTCATACACGCTCACATTTTGTGTCTGGATTTCACCACCAGTGTAACGCTGTTAATTATTCTATCTTTTCATTGCTCTTTTAGGCCAGACTGCAAAGCTGGAAGGACAAGATAATGGGCTTTCCATGGAAGGGTTTTGGCTTTGTCTATGGAGCAGAAAGTGCATGGAAATGTCCTTCCCTGTCAGGCACAAAGGCACATGCACACTTTTCTGTGTGCATGTCTGTTTATGTGCACACAGCAACCAGTTTGGAAGAGTTTAGCAGCCGGCTAATTGTGCCCTTCATAAAATAATAATCCAAAAAACAATAATATTGTACCAGAAACAAGATGCATGTAAGTCAAGTTCACCAACAAAGTCTATCTGTATCATCTAATAAGAGAGAATAAACAATACAACCAATATCTCGACTGAAGGAAGAGTTTAGCTTATTATTTAAGTGCATGTTTTGGATTTATAAAAAATTAAACAGTGCCAATGGGTAACTAATATCACCCATTTCCACAAAACACTCTACAGACAGATGAATACATGATTTGGATGAGTCTGCACTTACTTTGACACTTGAGTGCTTGAGCGGTGATTAGACGGCTGCAGCCGTCACACCAGTCGCGCGTACAAGGCTTGGACTCGAACCGGTGTCCTTCACCCCTCTCGGTCCTCACCCGAGGGTCCACCCCGCGGGGAAAAATGGACCAGGCCTCCCTGCGGGGAGGCTCGGTGCGGGCCAGCCTGACCACTCCGGTCCTGCCCTGTGTAAGCCGCTCCAGAGGCAGACTGCCGGTGTGCGCTCGTGCTGCCACGGAGGAGGAGGCGATGCTCTGATGTGGCGCGTCTCGGTGCGGGTGCGCTCCTTTGTGTCCATTCGTGAGCGCTCCGCTTGGCATGACATTGATGGTCGACCTCTTAAGTGAAGTCCCTCTCCGATTACCCGTGTTAGGGTTCGAGTCACAGTGAACGCTGCAGTCACCGTTTTTGATGTGCCCTGTTCGGCTTTCTTCACATCCGGCTGCGGCGCGCCTGTCGCAGTCCTCTGTGTCCCGGTCCAGGCTACGTGGCGCAGCGGGAGCTCGGCATCCTTCGCCGGGCATCATCCCTCCTCGTCTCGCTGTCGCTTCTCCAGCTGGTCCCGGAGACGAGGGATGTGCTCCCGATTGCCCTTCAGTGGCGGAAGACCCGCATTCCCAGCCGCTCCCCGAGGTTCTCCGGAACATCATCTTCTCCCAGGACGACTTCCTCGGCAGCGTGATTTTCTTTCTGCCTCCGGCCAGTTTGAAGAGCAGCGGTTCCGAGTCCAGCGTGTGCGGACCCGGGTGCTGCCCCACCACACTCACGGACGCCATTGTCCCGTTCCCCTGTAATGCGTGTGTGTTCGGCAGTTTGGAGTGTGTACCAGCGCGTGTTTTTTTTTACTCCGTGCTCTGAATGTAAACTCGACTCACGCCCGCGACAAAGCGTGTAGTAGTGACGCCAAGCATCTGACAGCTTTAAATGCGCGAGCGCGCTCCATTTAAAGCGACAGGAGCGCGCACTAATCCCTGCTTCACACTGTGGGTTTGATTTGGCATCACTTGATGAATTATTATCCACTAAATGGATAACTACACTTAACACTTAACTTCCTGTTGACTCATTGTACTTTGTTAGCTGTTTTCAGTAATGCTACCCGGCCTTTAGGCTACTCTAAATGTACTCCCAGTAATTATCTTCTGAAACCACTTATATTAAAGACAGACTGCAGAGAGCAGACTGGCAGACCACAATCCCAAACGGAGAATCTGTGGAGAGCTAGAGACTGTACTAAGAAGTATGACATGGGTAACATGATAATAATGAGGATTTAAGTTTCCTATTTAAAATGTCAGCAATGTTTTCAATGTGGTATGGCAGACACATGAAAGAGCATTGTCTTTGACATAAAAGTACCTGATTCTGACGATAGAAAAGTCTTAGAATGTGTAAAAATGATTGTTATCTATTACTTTTTTGTAGGTGCTAAAGAGGACTCGGGCAGAAGTGTCGTCTCACTGTTAAAACTACACAATAGTGAATCAATTAACAAATAAAAATTGTAGATATGAAACAGGACTGACGGCACACCACCACTTATAAGTGGGCCTACAGAATGTATTGAATTTTGCTATGTTGTAGAGCAGTCTAGTGATAAAAGCACAATGTCACACTTGTTTGTGTAGGCTAATAGGAAAGTTATCAAATTTTCCACTTTGCCAAGTGCACGTCATATGAGCTGCATAAAACCACAGAGGCAGCTGTGCTCGTTCCTCTCACTTAACCCGAGAAAGCCCCCGAGGACACCCACACCACTCCTGCTCAGACTGGGCGAAGAACTTTCAATTTCATTCTCTGTACTCTGCAGTGTCACAACAGCTCACTTGTTTTCTGTTTACTTCTGAGACCTCTCATCTTCCCAGCTAAGTCGCACCTCCTCACAACAAATGTGATGTTGAAGTAATTTGAGTGAATATGAGAGTCTACTGTTGTCAAAGTCATTCGTGATCTTATTGACTTTTCAGAGCACGAGGTATGTTGAGACTGAAACTTATTAGAGGGCTCATGAAATGTTTTTTACTTTCACTTTTCAGCCTGCATTACTTCCTCAATGGAGATATCATTTCTCAAGAAAAAAACAAACGAGAGATAAAACAATATGGCAAAAAAAGTTTATAGTAAAAAGTAAAAAGCATATATTTTTTGATTTTCTCTAACCTTGTGCATTCCCATGTGACCCCTTCATAGACAAAAAACAAACCCTGGGATTTCCCCACCACGTGAGCCACACTGGCTAATGTCATTTTTTTCATTCTGTCTGGACAGTGTACTTCTGTTAAAAAGGAGACTGGTGAGTCGTGAGTGCCACTGTTTTTGTCTCGTTTACAATGAAACCTACGGTCAAATACAAAGAAACAACTCATCATTCAAGTTACACATCAGCAGGAAGAGAGACAAATGTCACAAATGTCACATAATTACAGTTGTGTGTGCTTGGAAAGGCTGACAATCAATGACATAATCTATCACTCTGAAATTTGCAATGATGCACTTTAAGTAAAGTCACATGAAACCATTTAAATGATCAACCATTAAGAAAAAGACAGCAGGCGTCTCAAGCCTTCAACAAACACACAACCACAGACATGAGAGAGACGGAGAAATATAGTGTCAGTCTGGTCACGTTAATCATTTTAGGTTCTCCAGAGTTTGCAGTGCTTCTTCTGTGGGGCAAAGAAGAAACACAGCCTGAAGAAAAATGCTCAAGCAGCTGACTTGGAATTCATTTTTGCTTTATCCTGACGGTCCATCACCGTGGCAGCCTATTAGAAATACAATAACACTAAAGGCATTAATGAGGTTTGTATTGAACTGCTGTATTCAGTCTTCGGCTGCTTCCTCTTCCAACAGCGCTGGGCTTCAGCCCGTCCTTGGAAACCCAGTACATTGTCCATAACTGTTCCTGAGTGGCAGTTAAAAATCAGAGTGCCTGTTTGTGTTTTTGAGTTACGATGTAAGGATGCAGCACTTTTGTCACAGGGTAGACGGTCTGGCCAAGTTCGTCTCCAGAGCTGCTGCAGGGCTCACTGTTCCCAGACTATATGGCAAAACAAATACAAACATCACACTTTGTCACCTACTGCATATGTGAGTTGTGAGTTTTGAGAGAGACATGAAGTTGGTATCTCAACTAACCTCTCAATAATGTTGTTGTTACACTGTAGTTCCTTCACCAAAATCCCCATTTCCTCCTTCAGATGGTGCATCCTGGAACAAAAGAAGATATGTTATCAGGGCAACTGTCTCCGTCTTGCCCACACACACACACACACACACACACACACACACACACACACACACAC